ACCTACTTCCACAAGAAAGAGCTATCGTAAGAGTCACTGCTCACTCCTGGGCAAACAAGCATCGCCTAAGCCGAGAATCGAACCCTGTCCATACCTTCAAGACGATGTCGTTGTCGATTACACTCTGTCGGGTAAAACTGAAAAGTAGCAGCAGAAATACAAAATAAATCCAAAGAATGGCCTCTTAGAAGAAATAGTGTTAGAGGCTACTGGCTAACGTATGAGCATGAAAAGCTGACCGCTAAGCTGCGCTCATATGTTAGCTGTGTGCAACGAAGGTACCTATAGATGCATACCGCAATGGTCAACTTTTAACTTTTCGAAGAATTTAATCGAAGATTTGAATTTTGTCTTCGTTTTTCCAATTTTTCACTTGATTACAGGAATACCTTTTGTTTTATCAGGTTCGAGTTCTTGGTAATTTACAACGATACTCAATTCAATGTGTACTGTCACTGAACATGTTCAACGAGAAGATCTTTCTTTTTCTCTACTTTTGGTTCATTTTGGTTGGAATACTGACCACGATCGACGCCATCCAACTTGCCTATGTCACTCGATTCAACTCCAAGAAATTACAGTTTGTTCGAAAGTAAGTTAGCACCTCAACCCATTACAAGAGTGTGTAGCTTAGAGGGCGTTCATGCTTTGCGACTCGATTGCTTGGATTGCTCGATCGAACCACGAAGTATGAATGTATAGTTCAATCAGGAGGTTCAAAGAACAGAGAGAATTTATGAAATGCTCTAGTTCTGGGGGGGGGAACATACAGACCTCCCTGAATGGGATTCGAGCTGTTCCAAATTCTACAGGCCGGCGATGTATGTCACGGCAATGTAATCGACATGATAGTAAGGGAAGGAGCTAAATTAGTTGACGACATGATAGTAAGGGAAGGAGCTAAATTAGTTGAGAAGTCCTTGTAGAGTGCGTGTGACCAAGTGACAATTTTCTGCTCGTTTCGTCCTCCCACGGAGTCGAGGTAGTTAGTGTTGTCCCCTCGTGTCATACCCCTTAACTATTATACTTTAGCCCCAAATAGGACAGGTTAAAGGGGATGACCGGCGAAACGAACCATCTGTGCTTTGGAGTGCTTCCTTTTTCCAGTATTTTGTCGTCTTTCTTTCTAATCGATGGCTGAGGGGTGGGCGGCTGCTGCCGTTGTCATAGGCCTACTCTCGCTTCCACCATTGACAGCAACCGCCCCCCTCCTCCAGCCATCAGCCACCCACTGCGTTCGAAGAAATCAGCGTGAAAGGAAGATGGCAGTTGAATAGCAGGGTTCTAACTTTCGCAAAAATGACCGTCCAGCCGAATCTGAAGGCAAACGAGGGGATCAGAAGACAGCATCGAACGGTCGTACTTCGCCGCTGGGGGAGAAGGAGGGGGGGGGGGTGGTCGTACCTGAGACCTTCATTCCAGCATCCGGCCCCGTCGCAAAGGCACTACACAACCACTAAGTCTGATGGTTGAAATTAGTAGTTATACTGTGACGACTCGCACCTCTCCGTTTCACGGCAGTTACTCGGAAGGCAAATGGATTTTTTCTGGGTAATGGCAAAAAGGTAGGAAGCAAGGAAAATCTAGGAAGTTGGACAGTTTTTTCCAAGTTGATGGGGAAGAAAAGTCACAGCAGAAGCGGAAAGTTCAGGAGGGAGGGCCGCACTGACATCGCCATTTAACATATCACGATGCAGTACCCTAGAGGGGATACAGGTCGAAAAAAAGTGGGGATAAGACGACGTTTTGGGCATGGAAATTGGTCGCATCTTGATTTGTTCTGAAATAACCCTACAGCAAATAATTTAACCGAAATTTCAGATTCATCAAATCGGCAGCTGACGAAGAAGAAATTATGGATGATTTTTGTATATATCAAGTTAATCCCGACATGATCGTGATATTGAACATGATTGGAGCCCATGCTAATGACGTCATCTCTTGTGAAGTCCTTCAACAAATGTGGAAAAATTACAAGTGAGCAACAAATTAAGCTTAAATTACAACTTCCTGTCAAATTCCAGCGTACGTCACGGCCATTTACTCGGTACACCCGCATGTTTATAATAAATTACAGTTGATGTCGTCGCAATCGCTCGGGTGAGGGGGTGGGGGAGGGGGAGGTAGTTACTGTCAGAAGTTAGAGATTGAGCCCATCCGCGGCGTTTTCTACGCTCGTGTTCTCCCAGTATCGATCAGGGAGCGATCACTATCGGTAGAAAAGGGAGCCACGTATGGGCTCATTTCACGCCACTTGACACTGCCCCAGCTGATCGCGACGATATCAACTATGCCTAACTCCACCAAGTACGTCGCACTTTGGAGACCCCCAGCGAGGGTAGTCCTATTTGGTCGCTGGGCTAAAGGAGTGCGGGGAGGGGGGTCGTATTTGCCTTCAAGGACAACTGCTAGCTGTTGACTTTACTCGGTTTTCCCGTTTCATGTAAGCCATATACCCCGCCATTCTCATCGTACCAGAGAGGATGTTTTGAATGGCTCGTTTTTTGCAATAATTCTCTAGCAAGACGAGCCTTGCTTTTGACGCACTGGTTAAACGCCCCGTCCCTCACAAATTAGTCATTGTAATTTGCTTGATGCGCGCAGCGACAATCCTGTCCATGCCCAGTGCAGTTATCAAGGGCAAGATTGAAGGACAGAGTCCACGTTGATCGCATGGGCGGAGCAGGCCTAGAACTGTACCTTCTTCATCAGCACTCCCCTCCTGTCTATCATGGCAAAGAGGAGCGCCAGCGAAGAAGGCATGATTGCAGTACTGACTCTACCCACATCATCAGCGTAAACTACGCTCTTCTGGGGCCAAGCGGCTTAGGTCACTAGTGAAAGGGCGACTTCCTCGACCCTCCCTTTCACAACTAACGGTTGTAGGCCAATCACCTGAACAGGTAACTCCAGTAAATATGAGCGTGCGGCTTATACCATAGAATTTGACGAATACCCCATGAAACATCATGATAGTTCTATTTTTCTACTTCCAGGAAAAGACGAGAAGAGCTTGGCCATAATCTCAAATTCACGGAAAAGAAAAACGGTGACACAGAGGAGACGAGACCATTGTTTGCATAACGAACGACTACAGTGGGATCCTTAAATTGCTCAATAAAAAGCTTTCGATTCTGTTCATTTTGCCGGATTCCGTACCTCAGTTCGGACAAAAACTGTCAAAAACGGAAATCAGAACACCGAAAAGTAATAATAGTAGTAATAATAAATTCCACTTGAAATCCATGCAAGAATTTATTCTCTTACTATAAACTTTACTTACAATGGAAGCACACTGATCTATGTCCTTCACAAAATCGTGTTCTCACTACAAAACTAAAACACAAACAAAGTGGTACGTCGATTCGGTCCGCAACGCAACCGCACTTGTCTTGCTCTGGTCAACACGTACACATATATTAGTGGCTTGAAAGGTCAAAAACACATTCCGTAATAGTCGCGAGAGCGGAGACTCGTGATCATGCACTCATCCCTCTACACAAAGATCGGGCGCGCCAATGAGGAAGGCATAATGGTTACAAGTCTCCGCCCATTTGGTGCTGTGGAACATATCTCTTGTGAAGTCACAACAGGACAATGAATAAGCAACCGAGTAACTGTGAACCAGTAATAATTATTAGTTTTGAAAAAAATAAACGAAAAAATTACACGTATTTGGGTTGGCGACTACCGCTAAAATCAATTCTAACGATTCTAATCTCAAAAATGCTCTACTATAATACGCGAAACGAGAACGAGAATGGAAACCTAAAGACACAGTCCACGATTCAACGAAATTGTAGTACCCGTCCCTTGCACACAGTGGTGCAGTTGAAATCGCAGAGGACCTACCACGCTGGCGGCTCATTATTCGGTGAGTACGCCAGAGACCGGCCGCTATTTCAAGCCCCGCCCCTTCAGTCCGGCTCCTCCCTCTTCATTTCCTTTCACAACTGCTGCTCTTTCGTCGTGATTTCTCGCTATTTCGTCGCCTATTTCTTTTCTGCAACTCAGTGCGCCTTCGTTCAGAATCAACCCGAGATCTTATTCAGGGTGTTTTCGCCTAGGGATTTTGCATTTTTCTTTACTGCTGACTGAACTACCACTTATTGTCCCTGGACATCACTACTCCCCCCCCCCCCATCTGCAATGGTGGACTGCGTCTTCGCATTAGAGAAAGTACGAAGAACAACTAAACACTGAATACCCTGAAATCGGGCAAATTTGAAATGTAACGGAAAAGTCTATTCGGCTCCGGGGAGGGGCATTTGCTTCTTCGCTACTTTCTTTTACTAGTTCCTGTCAAATTACACGTTTCACCTTGGTAATACCTGTAGACACTTTTGAGATGTGAACGAAGCTCATGCTATTACATCTTCACAAGTTTCTACAGGTTTCCACGAGAGGCATCAGCAGTGATAGACGAGAATCAGCAAAATGCCCCCACCAAACCGAACTGCACCGATTAATCTAGTCCAGAAGCTCGCCATCTTCAACTTCATCCTCATCGACCATAACCAGATCGATGTCTGAGACAACTAATTCTTGTTCTTCTCCATCAGCTGCCATCTGCGACGATGTTGACAATTTTCGCTTTTTAGGGCTCTTACTCGAATGTCGAGGATGGTGAGAATCTTCAGTAGATTCTTTCCGCTTTTCTTGCCTCTTCTCGTCCCCTTCTCTTGCACAGCCATGCCGCTGACCTGAAAAATGCACAAGTGCATTCGCGATCCATACATCGATTATCAAACTCACTTGATCGCTCCTTGCGGGAGGAAAAAGCTCGGTCGTCGTCTGATGCTTTTGTCCTTTTGGATCTTTCCAAACGGTCCTTTGACGCTGCAAGAGAACGGAATAGCTTCGGATCTAACCAAAGACAGCTACAGCCGTGCTCGAAACAGGGCGTGTGGGTCGCAGTGCGCAGATTTTTGCACTGCCAGAGCAGTGTTTATCAGTGCTCATCGCAGAGTAAGGTAAGCCATTCAGCGAGATCAAGGTACTCTATACATAGAACAGGCCCAATATTAGCGACAAGGCGACGGGGGAGTACTTTCCGCTGCTTCACTTGGTTCCGTTTACCAGCGTCACTTTAGTGTAAACTGTGACTCTTGTGTTGAAGCTGGAGCAAGCTGTCGAGATACTCTTTCACGGAATCTAGCTATAAGCGGCCAGAATTGAAAAAAATGGGTGCTTAAATGCACTTATAACCAACAGCCCCGAATAGATACTACATCTTTTGTACTGTCGTTCCGTGCTCAGTTCTGTGACTCGTTTTGAGCGGAGATCGTCTAGACGATGAATCTCGCGAATCTCGGTTACTACGTTGCTGATCGCGAGATTCTCTCGTAGAATGATGGCGATGCAATTTGTCTGAACAAGCATAGCACCTCCAACTTGCCAATCATCGCACAAAGAAGCTGTATATAGCACCTTCACTACTGCACATCACCGGAGCCAACTCCCACATTGGAGAATGTTTGCGTAGGATTTCGCGATGGATTGCGCTGTGATCTCCAGCGAGGGGCTTATTATAGTCGTTGGAGTTCGCCAACGCATTTTGGCCCTGCAGAAGGGGGGGGGGGGAGGGAATCGTATGCGGCTTGAAGCTGTCAAGAGGGCGGCATCCTAAGATCAAGACATCGCACTAACAGAAAAGCTTCGGACATGTCAACAGTTCTCCGTCACCTCAATATTTACTTGTAAATATAAAACGTCTCGGAATCTCACCTCCTGAAAAACTGTTTCAGGACTCACGGCGCTGTTTGTCGACGGGGGGGGGGGGGGCATTTTTGTATATCCATTGATTGCCTAGTTCGGTTTACACATTCCGGTAACACTTGTAAACTCTTGTGAAGCTTATGGCAGGATCGTCTAAAGCCACCATCTAAGACGTGTCAACTGCGAGCAAGGCTAACTAGATGGCGGCATCTCTATGGTAAGCAAGACTGGCCCCCCGTCGAAAACTGCGGCATCACTCACACCCGTCCAGCCATTAGTTGGCACACTCACTTGAGCGGTGACGAAAGATCACCGGATTTTCGAGTCTTACAACAATAAAATCGAGTTTTGCAAAAGGGAGGGAGGAGGGGGCATTTTGTACTTTTCGCCAGTTTGATTATTCAATATTCAATAGATGTCTGACATTTGTCTCGTCAGTAGACGCTGTAAAGTACTGAAGCAGTGAAAGTTGTATGATTAACCCACATCAGCAACAGGTACTTGTAGGTTATCACATTGGAGGAGGGGGGGGGAGCGGGGGGGGGGGAGAGGTAAAATCTTGTTAAGCGTTACTTGTTTGGAGCCCCAAAAAGCCGGACTACGTTTAAAAGTGTGTGAGGTAAACAGCACTTTCGAGGAAATTTTGAATGTCACACTTCGAAAAGGTGTTCGGGTCAAGTATGTGAGACTAAAGTGAGTAAATTATCAAAATAAAACGGAAATAGTTACCAGAACCATCCGGAATAGATACAGTTGAACGAACGGTGCGAAGGTCCTTTCCATCAATGTTTCGCCTTATGGAATCTTGAATAAACAACAAACACAATAAATAAATAACTACTGGATGCATTTCAGCACTATCTACCCTTCTCGACCGCACTTGTTGGAATTAAGGTGGATTTCTACCTAGCTCTGTCCACACTAACAGGACTAACACCGATGAAACTGCAACTTGAATCTTGAGGAGTAGAGTAGTAAATAGGAGATGGCGCTTTCACTTCAGAACAGTCACAGAATCTACTTTCTATAGCCCGAAAATGAGCAGAGTGCGTACTTAGTTACCACAATGGATAGTGGACAGTAACCGGTTGAGGAAGAAGACTGACAGATACAGTAACGTATTTTCAAAATAACAAACCGTATACTCGCCTTCCGTAGAGCCTGATTCTTGGCATGTGTGAGATGAATGGGTCCGCATCTGCACTAGCATGCCACTTTTGCCGCTCAAAACTGCCAGGAACGAGGCTAAAGGGTAGTGACACCTCGGTGCCGATTCCATACTACACTCCTGTTATCTCAAGGTGGAGTGCTTGCGTCAAGATGTGCAGATATTGTTGGGCCGGTCAGCAGGTTAGCTTACCCAAGCAATTAAGTGAGGTCATGGCACCGCCGCGCGCAGCAGGCAAGCGCCAGGCGATACATGTCAAGGCTCCTCCCACTCTACAGTTTCTTCACCGTATACCGGCGTAACAATATCTCCACACCCTGCGTCAAGTCCTTGGTCCCAGTACCAGGACTTGTGTAGCACCAGGTCCTGCAGCGAAACACGCGCTTAAATATAGAACAACTAGAACTGAGAGGGCGCAGACAAGTAACGCATTTGGCTCTAGTTAAGCGCGCGACTGGCCGGGCAGCAACGTGGGCGGAGTCGGGAGACGGCACCTTTGTGACAGTTCCCTTCAGCTTCGTTCCTGTACACTTTTGAGCGGAAGAAAGTGACAACCTGCTACGACTGCGGACCGATTCACCTCTCACATAGCAATATCCAGAATTCAAGGAGGTCGGTGCTCCTCCCCTCTATAGGCCAAGGGAAAGTTTTCACTGGTGGAACCCCATTTTTGCGCGAAGAGTTTTTCAACCTTGCTCTTTTCTCAGCGCCTTAATATACACTCGAAATCTCTGAGATGTGGTAAGCGTGGCTGTGT